GTCCAACTGGTTATGCTCCATTCCCTGAAGTGAATGCGATATCATTTAAAAATTCTGACCGTGGTCGTAATCGTGGACATGGAAAAAGTCACCATAATTACCGCAATCGTGGTGGTTAGACAAATTATTATTCTGATAATAAGAATACCCACCAGAAGTGGATAGTGAAGAGATACAAAAAAAAACAAAGGTGGACAAAGTAAAAAGAAAATAGAAAATGTTTGTTATCAATGTGGTATGAAAGGTCATTGGTCACGTACCTGTCGTACACCAAAACATCTTATTAAACTTTATCAAGCATCACTAAAAGATAAAGGAAAAAACATCGAAACAAATTTGGTTGAAGATGATAGCCAAGTTGATATAACACACTTGGATGTTGTTGATTTTTTTGCCCACTCTAAAGGACGAATTGATCATTTGATTGGTGATGGGAATCCCAATAATGAAATTTTTTGAATTATTTATTGATGTGTTTTAGTACAACTTTATTAGGAACTTGACATGTTTAGTATTATTCTATTAAGAAGTTAATATATCTATTAGGAAGATTTTTTTTTTTTGTGTTTTAATAATAAAGTTTATATTTAATGTTCTCTTATGTAAGTTTCTTACCATATATAATTTTTATTTTCTTGAAGAAAATATGGATATTCATCTGGTTAGACCCAATATCAATGATGAAGATATATGTCTAATAGATAGTGCTACAACGCACACTATATTTAAAGATAAGAAATATTTTTTCCACTTGACAATGGAAGAAGCTAATGTCAATACAATATCTGGTAGTACAAGATTAATTGAAGATTCCGGAAGAGCTAATATTTCACTACCTGGAGGAACAAGGTTTATAATAAAAGATGCATTACTTTCTACTAAGTCTCAAAGAAACTTATTAAGCTTTAAAGATATTCATTTGAATGGATATCATATCAAGACAACGAATGAAAGAGGTACTGAATACCTTTATATTACATCAGGTAAAAAGTGTGTATTGAAAAAATTACCCACTTTGTCCTCTGGAATGTACTACACAAAAATTAATATGATTGAAACTTATGTTATAGTAAACCAGAAGTTTACTGATAATTTTAATGTTTGGCATGATCAGTTAGGTCATCCCGGATCAATAATGATGCGAAAAATTATTAAAAATTGATGTGATTATCTATTGAAAAATCAGAAGATTTTTCAATTTAATGAATTCTCATTGCTGCGTACTCTCAAGATAAATTAATTATAAGGCCATCACCAGTTAAAGTTGGGATTGAATCCCTTGCATTTTTGAAACATATTCAGGGTGATATATGTGGACCCATACATCCACCATGTGGACCATTCAGATATTTTATGGTTTTAATTGATGCCTTAACAAGATGGTCACATGTGTGCTTATTATCAACTTACAATTTGGCATTTGCAAGATTACTTGCACAAATAATTCGTTTGCGAGCACCTTTTTCTGATTATGCAATCAAGACAATTCGCCTTGACAATGCTAGTGAATTTACATCTCAAGCTTTTAATGAATATTGCATGTC